AAATTCCCGTCAATCAAGGCTGAAATAGCAAAGAAGGAAAGCACGTGGGGTTTAGCTTTACGTATAAGGTAGTTGACAATATCCACCTGCAGACTTACATCCATGTTTCAGAGTTGCCCATTTGCCGGCCAATGCTCCTCCTAGCAGTGAGTTTCTGCTTTTTCTATGTCTTTTTGACCCCAAGTTTTAGTAGACAAAATTTAACATTCCAGTAGATAAGCAGAGATGCCTGAAGCAATCCCTTGAGAAGAAGTTAGCCGAAAGAAGAAGGGCTGGGCTTGCGAAACGCAAGGAATTGTACATGGAGGATAATGAGGGTATGATAGAAGATGATGAAGAGGAGGAAGATGTTGATGATGATGACAATAAGAAGTCAAAGACGAAAAAGTATGTCGTTTCTTCATTCACAGCTCGTTCTGTGTAGTTCAGAGCTTTTATTTCGTAGAGTTTTGCCTTTTCTTGGGTTAACGTAGTTTTATAGAAAAGTGAAAGAAGTGGAAGAAAGCGACGGTGACTACAGCGCTGATGACGAGGAAGAAGACCAGCAATCTGAGGCTGAAAGTTCACAGGGTGGCGATGTGGTTGATGAGGAGGAGGAAGTAAAGGTGAGTTATGCTTTGGCCCGTGTTCATCTACACGGTAGAATAGAAAATGCGCGCGAAAGGAGTAGATTGAGACCGATTGATTCTCCTGTTCTTCCGGTTTGCCGAATCAATACTTACTTTCCTTTGGCGCGCTTTCTCCATTTTTTACCAGTCGGTGGTTTGCGGTGCTGTCACAGATTTCTTTCACAATTTTTGTGCCTTTCAGAAAGGCGGAGCTGCCGACGATCTGCCAGAATCGGTCGACTTATTCGATGGTGCGTCTGTAGCGGGTAGTACTAGGAAGAACAGCCAAAGGCTTTACGATGTATGAATATGCCTTGCTTCGCTCACATACTTCAAAAGACTTCCCTTGTGATATACTCTTTTTTGTAGGATGAGCTTCCCCATCACCAACTGGACGTAGAGGTGGACAATTCTGTTGCGAGTGCCTCTCAGGTGCGCTTCATTTATGAAGTGGTCAATGTTTGTGTAAAACTACTAGCGATTTCAGTGCCATTCGGGAGAGCCGCTCCGTCCAGTTGATGTGAGTTTCACCTTTTGCCTTTTTTTCTAGTTTTTTTTCCTTCAAACTTTCTTACTAAGCCTGCCGTCAAAGTCTTCACTATTACGAGTAGTCGCAAGTCCGGGTCGACCCCCCCCAGGCCGACGAGCCTTCTTTCCTCTGTATCGTTGTCTGCTGTCTTTCAAATCATTTAGCTTCGAGTCGTCGCGGCATGATTTTCTTCGGCTAGTTTCAAAAAAATTTCGAATTCCATTCGTGCTCATACCAGTTCAATGTCTAAAATCATTTTTTTTTAGTTTTAAGTGGGATAAAAGTCCGCAAGCGTCTCCTTTGTTGACTTGATTTTTCCACCCTGGAAATTTCAGCAACTGAAAAGTTCAACACTGAC